CGCAAAAAGATAACACAACTCAATATGTAAACATAATTATCTGTTGTGTTCAGATAACAATTAATATATAAAATTCAAACATAATCCCAGCACTCTCACTAGAACAGTCAGGGTGTTTATTTTTGATCTGATAATTTAATATTAGATTCCTATGAATTTTTATGCTTGATTTTACAAATTATAATTAAAAAATGGTTTTGTTTTTGCGTAATTTGCGAATATTTAACATTTTTTTGCTATTCAACCAATTGACATACGACCTAACATCATTGAGGTAATAAATAATTACGATCCCGGATGTGCTTTCCATCAATAAGTGTTTTGAAAATTAAAACTGAAACCCATTCGGGTTTTAATAGGGCACTTACAAGGTAAAATATAGATAATAATTTATACACTTCCATCTATTTAGATATAATATGGTTATACATTATTTCACACTTGATATTATAGACTATATATTATAGTACCTATGTAAAATAAACATAATTACATGTATATAAAATTTTAAAATGACAACTTTTTTTACTCAAAAATAAAATTCTAATACTTATAAGCTTTATAATAATACATTTTATGGTACTAATTAGTATTTATGCACATAATATATAATAATAATATAACAATTACTGTTCAGATAACAAAATAATAACAATGGACATATAAAAAACCTTGTCATTGTATAAATGTTGCAATATAACAAACTATAGTACAAACATAATAATAAAAAATAAAAATCATAATATATCTATAACTGAAAAAAATTAAATAGAACAACTTAACAAACTTCTTAAAAAGTCTTACTCGTAAATATTATTTCTATAAGTTTACTATCTATACGTCAATACATAATATAATAATATTGATATAGCTATGATAACTCTTTAATACTTTTCACTGTTCAGATATAAATAAATAAAATGTAAATATAACTTCTTGAAATCTATGCCTATGACTCAAAGAAAAAAACATATAAAAAATTATTTAGAGTATAATATAATTTGCAAATTGACTTAGGTGTTTTCATTAACGGAGTGAACTTTTTCTTTTATACCGTCATATATTTGCCATGAATTGATGGGGGTTTCTAAATGTGTACCTAAGCATGATAATGACCAATTGTTTCATATGATGTAGTCGATTGTTGGATGTCCGGTGTTGTTCCCAATCCTCTCAAGTAATATTGAGACTGTGGTGTGGAAATAGATTTTGGAATATGATTGAGAAGGATACGTGTGTCCGTAAATTGTGCATTTGTTGTATTATTTAAATTAATCAAATTGAAAAATACGTGTTTTCCGAGAACTACAGTTACCTCAATTATACCATTACACATTTGACAATTAATTTTAGAGTTGTATAGTTGATTTATTTCTTCATTTAATAAAAGATTAAGTTGTCTTTTAGTTGGCATTTTTTCTGTAACACAAATAGTTAAAAACGGTTTCTTATCAAATCGTTTGAATTTGCACAAATTGCAATTTTTCTCTATTTGTACACTTTCATAATTTTTTAATAACATGCTTAACATGCTATCAATTGATTGTTCGACAGATAAATATGTTATACCATTCAATATTAGCTCTCCCGAGAACAAATTACTTAAAATCGTAACCCGTTTTCTATATGTTTGCACTGTTACATCATCACGAAGAAAACAAAATATTAATTCCCACAGTGTACTTTCCTCTTTTTTTTCCGTTACATATTTTATATAAGCAGTGGTATCGCTCATATTCTGAGTCATCATCGTCTGTCAAATTAACTTTCGCAGAGCTGACTGTTATTGATTACTGAATATTGATCTACGGTACCAGTTGCAATCCTCTTACGTAAAAAATCTATACCTTGTGTAGCGTAAGTATTTTGTCCGTTGCTTAAAGTACCATCTGTTTTACTATAAATTAGCCAAAATAAATTCTTAAGTATGTTTTGGACGTCATAAAAATCTTCACATAATATAATTTGACCAATCGCTCGTACAATGAAATCTTTTATTCTTATATTCTTACTCTAGGAAATGTTGACCAATTTGTAACAAGCTTTATTATATGAGCAACATCATTTGTTGTGGTACAACATTGTGGTAAATCTAAATAATTTTTACATAGACAATTAGAACATCCCAATCGACAGGTTGCTCGTTCACCTCAGCTTGCCTTTGCTGGTGGGTGGGGAATAGTGTGCTGACGACTGTTTTCAGCATTTCCGGTTCCATGGTGGCTGTTGCGGGGGGACCTCTGAGCTTCCGCATTACCATCTTATAGGGCTTCCCGAATGGGTCCTGGTCGACGGAGGCGATGAGCTCGCTCCAACAGGCTTTTTTGCTACGGGATATCGCGTGCTTTAGCCGTCTTTTGGCCACGACAAAATCAGATTTGGTTCTTTCCAGTTCGGAGGTGGCACGATCGTTATCGAAGTCCGCGTTAGCACGTTGTGTGAGGCGGGCAACCCGGGCCACCATCCTCACCTTCTTGAGCTTAGCCCTTGCGCACTCGGCTCTAAGGTTGCTGATTTCTGTGTTCCACCAGTGGACAGGCGGCTTCCCTGGTTTCGGGGCGCGACGCTTTGGTAGGGAAAAGTCACATGCCGAGGTTATCCGAGATCGTAGGGTTGACGCTCCTGACTCAGCATCACATGAGTCGGGCTGGGGCCCTCCATCAAGCCATTCCGCAAGCAGTAGGCCGATGTGCATTGCTTCAATGTCTATTCCGCCTGAGGTGTTCAAACCACGGGGGACGTCAGTGGTGGGCAATGACTGGTGTACTAGGTTTTCGGAGATCGTAAACCGAATATAATGATGGTCGCTGTTGTTGAAGACCTGGTCCATGACTCTCCAGTTGCTGGTGCGCCCAGCTAAGGATTCTGACGTGAGTGTTAGGTCGATAATGGAGCCGGCACCCCTGGAGAAGGTGGGAGTGGAGCCAGAGTTAATGATGATCAGGTCCAAAGACTCGAGCATCAGTCCCAGCTCATCCCCTCTCCCGTTGCTCATCCAATCTCCCCAGGCCGCGGATCTGGCGTTGAAATCGCCGGTGACCAGAATAGGTGCGCCTCGGCTGATGGTTCTGATGCTGTTTTCAAGCCGTTGGAGGAAAAGAGTAAAGCCAGCGTGGGGTTGGTTGGGGGACGCATAGCAACTATAAACCTGTACCCCGTTGATACGAGCGGATACAAATTCTGGGTCAGCTATCACGTTGGCTATGGATACTCTGTCACTCGCAATATAAATGGCCGCCTTGTTCAGACCGGAACTTGCAAGCCAGGCATTGGAGCTAGTATCGACTCTATACGAGTCGCTCAGGAGTGCAATATCTATCTTCTCCTCCGCCATATACTGGAGGACTAGATCTTGCGCCACGCTGCAGTGATTAAGATTGCACTGGATAAAGGTTGTCTGCATGTGGCGAGACCCTGCGCTAGTATGGAGGATCGTCATGGGAGGACACATGACGCAACTGCCGGCGCTTCGGCCGAGGACTGCTTCTCCGTCGGCTGTTTCGCCGCGTGTTGCGGACGTTGCTGCTGCTTGGGCTGCCTGCGGGAACGG